TGGCAAAAAGAAAGGAAACAGCGATGCTGCTGTTCCTTCCCTTTGACTTTTGGGAGCTGCAGGGATCCAGGCAAGGACCCTCTCACCACGAGGGAGAAAATAAACTACAACCAACACCAAAAAACCCCAAACCAACAGAGTTAACAAGTGATGGGTCACAGGAACCACCCGAAACACAGCCCTGGAGGAGGAAGGGCTCCTGCTCACCCCGAACTGAGGGCCTGGGGACAGTTCCTGAGGGTCCCTGAGCAGAACCAGGGAAGAACTCCAGGATGAGGATCCCCACCAGAGCTCCCTGCTCCATCTCCCCCCATCCTGCCTTCCCCAGCACGAGCTATTCCTGTCTCCATCCAAGGAGCAGGGAACTGCTCCGGTGACGTCAAAGCAGTTTCCCAGCAACAATTAATGAGGGCTGTCCACCACAGGGGTTTCCTGAAAAGCGAGCAAGGAATTATCCACCTACTTTGCACAGTGTCAGGATGCAATAGGACAGCATGGAACAGGGATTTCTGTTAACCCTTCCCTGGCACGGCTCCCCCCGACCCGCTCCCGGTCCTGCCAGAGAGCCCCAAGCACAATTCCTTCCCTGGGAATCCATCCATCAGGAAATACCTCATCAGGTTGGAGGCACCTGCCCACAGAGGTGACAACCAGGCTCAGGAAAACATGGAAAACAGCTCTCCTCTTGCTGGCACCTGCTCCCATGCCGAGCCTGCGCCAGGCAGGAGCCCCGGCACGAAAAAGCTGGATGAGGGAACGAGGTCCTCCCTCACCTTCCCGAGCCCACCTGCCTGGCAAAGCACATCCCAGACTTCACTCATCGCCCCAAAAGCACCCCAGCTCCCAGCAGACCTCCATGGGAGGAAGGCACAAGGCAGGGCTGGTGTCTGTATCCCCCTTCCTGCTCTCCAGCTGCTGCTCCTGCTGGTCCCCACGCTGGCAGAGGGCACAGAGACCCCCCTGTCCCTGAGGGGGACACAGCAGAGACTGGCACTTCTCCAGGTGGGATCCAGCCATGGATTGGAACATTGAAAAAAGGAGGAAATGGTGATTTGAAATTAAAAAAAATAAAACTCAGCTTTATCTGTTGACTGCCAGAGGTGG